TTATCTTATTAATAAAAGTATCTTTTTTAAAAAGTTTGATAGAAAAAAATTTTTATGCTCTAGTTTGTCAGGTACATCTACAGATTAACATTTCAGGATGTTTTATTTGTTCTACATTTCATTGCATAGGTTTCCCTTGGGAGTAATAAGGCAGTTATAAGATTTATTTTAGTACTGTTTCACTTTTATTCTGTCAGGTGTTGAAATGTTTTTCCACAGCTTGCTTTAGGTTATATATTAAAGGTATTGAAGGTACCTGGGGAGTTGTATTACTGTTATTTCTTTCCAGTTTTTAGTCCCAAGCTTCCAGAATGGTTAATGGTGTGAATGGACTTCACACATAAAAGAGTTAAACATTTTGTATGATGTACATGGTGGTTTGTTTTTTTTTGTTTGGGCTTTTTTTTTTTTTTTGGTCTGCTTGTTTTGTTTGCTCACTTTTGGTAATCCAAATTGAAAAGGCCCTGAACTCTTTCATGAATTGAATTCATATATAGCTTCAGAGCACCTGAATTGATTCAGATTCCTGCCTCTTTTCCTGCCTTGAGCACTTTAGTAAAACTCTAATCACTGGAGAACCAGATCCCTAAATTGTGATGATAGTTCTATTTGCCACTGTCCCAAGGTGATTTTTCCTTGTAAAGCAGCATTTATATATAGCCTTGATTACTTATTGCAGGTCACTTTTAAATCCTAATGAGGACTTCTGTCTAGGAGCTAAATTTTCTTAGGCCTACAGGTTAAATATCAAGAGTTGAAATGTCTGGAGTTGTGAAAATGAAACAAAACTTCGGTGTAACTGACAACACTTCCTGAAGGCCTTGAGAGGGAAGAGTTCTTGAGAGACTTGGAAAGTTGACTTACGTTTTTCCTGTGAAAATAAGAGCCGATTCTGTATTCCATACACAGGAACATGAGTATCAAGGAAAAATTTAAGAACCTCATATGCATGCAAACTTTGGGTGAGAATTAAAATCGTGTTATACAATTCTCGAAATGTTTGTGGTGGCATGCATGTGCTCAGTTGTGTCTGACTGTTTGCGACCCCACGGACTGTGGACTGTAGTCCGTGGAATTTTCCAGGCCAGAATATTGGAGCTGGTTGCCATTTCCTACTCTAGGGGAGCTTCCTAATCCAGGGATCAAACCGGTGTCTCTTGTGTCTCCTGCACTGGCAGGTGGATTCTTTACCACTGAGCCATCAGGAAATGTTGGTCATTATTAAATCTTGGGGAGTGATTTTGATCAGGAAAGAGTAGTATAACATTGTTACTTACAAGGAGATACCCAGTCTTTGAAGTTGCAGTCTCACTGCCTTATTTGCCTGTCATATTCTCTTTTTTTCTTTTGGTACATTGCAGAAAGCAAAATGGCACTTTTTATCTGGAAGTATTTCTAAAAACCCAAATCATTCCTTAGTCTGTGTGTAAAAATAAGCTTTAGTGGTGGGGAAAAAGCTATTAGAATAAAGTCTGGTTATAAGTTATAGCAAAATTCATGAATATTGACAGGTAAAGATTAATTTACCACTTTGTGAATAGCAAGTTAAAAATAATTTACAGTTCCTACTTAACTCTCTCCCTTTTTAAAAAGTGGCATAAAGTAGAACTGAAGTTACCTTGATTTAATTTTGACTTATTTTAGATTAAGTTTTGTCTCAGGAGAAAACTACTGAGTTTTGTTTTTCTGTGTAGAGAAAGTAAGATTACATATGGCATGTGGTGGCTGAATAAATTCTATTTTCTGTTACATCCCATGGTAGGGGGTTTCTCATCCTGTTAAAAAAAAAAAAAAGCCCATTTTCTATTGAAAGGGCCATTCCCAGCTGACAGCGTTTTGGGTGATTATTAGTGGTCCACTTGCTCAGCAAATCGGGTAGTTCTTGCACGGAGGTCAGTGTATTTACCTTCCAGGTGATTGTTCCCTTTTGTTCTGTTTCTCACAAATGACCTGACAGATTGGCCCAAAATAAAATTTGTGGGCAGTCATCATTTGGAGAAACTTGGCTCTTGCTTCTGACTGCAGTGGGTTGTGAAACACCTCCATTGTAACATGCATTGTCAGTCTTGGTTACATACTGAAGTCACATGGGGAGATGGATTTTTAGTTTGGAGTTTGTCACTTTTTCTGTACTCCATGGCTTGATTTCTCAGCTTTGTCTTGTCATAGTTTTTCATTTCCAAGTGGGCTGTCTTTCATGGTTGCCTTTAAAAATATAATTCAGAATTCAACAGAAATGTTTATTTCCCTAGTGAATACTAATTGGACTTTATTTTCTACAAAATATTTTGGGATCCATAGATGTAAAAGTTCAGATCCTTGCTTGCTATCAAGGACACATTATATATTAGGGTCAGGTTATTATAAACTGGGGCTTTCCTGGTAGCTCACCTGGTAAAGAATCCACCTGCAATGTGGGAGATCAGGATTCTATCACTGGGTTGGGAAGATCCCCTGGAGAAGGGCATGGCATCCCACTCCAGTATTCTTGCCTGGAGAATCCTCATGGACAAAGGAGCCTGGTGGGCTACAGTCCATGGGGTCACAAAGAGTCAGACATGACTGAGTGACTAAGCGCACACACACAATTATAAACTACAATATCAGGTAATGTCTGAGTGCCTGTAGGATGGGTAGGATTTGGACAGTCAGGGATTTGGGAAGTTGATGGGGCCATCCTGCTAGGCAAAGAGAAGAATGTAAATATACAACTGTAATTACAGCAGAGAAGAAGGGGTGTGTTTAGGAAAGAAATCTGAAGTGTTGGTTCCTGTCTTGAGAGGAACATTATTGATACTTTATAGCAAACTGGGTCCTTGAATGTTAGAACAAGACCTGTAGATTTTAATCTGTAAGAGCTGCTGCAGTATTTTGAGCACAGACATGAAGAAAGGCAATTTGGTGGCTTGTAGTTGGATTTGAATGAAAGAGTTTTTGAGACAGACTAATAGATGGGTGTCACTGAGGAAAAGGGAGGTATAGGTATTAGTAGAATTTGTCACTAATATCAGAGTTTGAGGATGGGGGTCTAGAGGTACAGCTCAAAGAATAATAATGGTATCTCTGACTGAAATTGGAAATTGAAAGGAAGAGCTGTTTGAGGTGAGTTTAGGTTTAGGTTTTAGAAATTCTGAGTATTGTAGTTGCAGTGCAGAAGTAGAAATAGGTGAATATTTGGATGTGGTTTCTGTAGTTGAAACCTTGGATAATAATGTTTATTGTAATCTCACTTAAAAATTTGTCAGAGCACCAAGAAAGATGGTGTGTGTATATGAGACTGTATATTGGTGCTTATGGAGTTGGGGAGGGGGGGAAACTTACTAAAATACGTTTTGGTTTTCTGAATGCTACTTTAGTTTGAAGAATAATCAGAAGGATGACTGTTTGAAGAAAGGGCTTCCCAGGTGGCGCTAGTGGTAAAAAAAAAAAAAACATAAAACAAAAAACCCACCTGCCAATGCTGGGATATGTAAAGAGATGCGGGTTTGATCCCTGGATCAGGAAGATCCGCTGGAGGAGGGCAAAGCAGCCCACTTCAATATTCTTGCCTGGAGAATCCCATGGACAGAGGAGCCTGGCAGGCTAGTCTATGGGGTCACAAAGAGTTGGACACGACTGAAGCAACTTGGTACACACACCCATTTGAAGAGAAAGATTCAAACATAAGGAGGAAGGAAACTTAGAGGACATGTTTGGTATCTGTAGCAAAGTATGTACAGAAAGTGAATTTGGACCCAAGGGAGAATTCTCAGATTTAAGCAGCAGGAAAAATAAGAGCCAGCAGGAGTTCACAGTTTAAGTAAAAGGAGGAAATAGGAGTAACTATAAATGTAAAACTTAAACTTGACATCCTAAAGAACACTTTTAAGAAAAATCTCAGATTTAATAGAAATAAATGTTTTCCATTTTGCTTATTTTTAGTGTTTTTGTAATGAAATTATCTTAACTTTTTTTAAGGTTTTCTTCAAATTTTTTTACATTATCAAAGTATGATAACACATTTACAGGAGACTTGGAAAATACAAAACAAGGTTATATATAGTTCAATTACATATTACAATTATTTTTTAAGTAGATAAATTAAGATTTTTAGTTGGAGTTTCAATATCAAACTCTCAAAAATTAATAGAATTAGTATACAGAGAAGTAGGATATAATAGACCTGAAAAGCACTGTGAACTAATTCAACATAATTCAGATTTATACAGTTTTCACACGACAATAGTATACAAATTCTATTAAGTTCCTGTAGACTGTAAACTAGGAGACACTGGAACATATCCAGGGGCATAAAACAAGGTGCAGAAATTTCATGGTCCAAAGATATTGAGATCATATGGAGTCTGTTCTCTTATCACTGTGGAATTATGTTAGAAATCAGTATCAAGGGATATTTGAAAATAACCCACATATTTTCAGGTGCAATGTGACATTCACCTGGAGAGACCTTCCACCTACTCATTGAAAGCCTCAATAAAGTTAAGCTGAAAAAAACACAGAGGGTAATTTCAGAGAAGAAAGCATTTAAATGCTTTGGTATCAAGATGAGATATTAATATTAAAGATACTTTAAACAAAATCCCATGTATTTGGAAATTAAAATGTCCACTTTTAAATGACAGGTGTATCTAAGAAAACTGTTTTTGAATAATTTTGAAATTACAGTATACATTCTTTCAAGTTTAAAGCTTGTTAAACTGTGTATAATCACAACAATCTCATCTTGGAAATATTTTAGTAATTTGGTTTCTGGAGATATAATGCTACTTGAATTACTTTGAAAATTAGAAAATAAGGAGTAAGATGTTAAGGATATGTTTGATCTGTCCTGTTGAACTCTGATTTTACAAAACACTTATTGGCCTTTAAATTGTCTTGAGGCATACTGTTCATCAGTTTGAAAATGTTCATACTTATTAAAGGAAGAATATCTTAACTTTTAATGGAAAAACATTCTTTAACAAAGTTTCATTCGAATGACCTCTTTCTCTCTTTTTTAGGTATATTTGTATCCAGTATTGTTCTGATCTTGTCACAGCGATCGCTTTTCAAGTTTTACATGTACAGCTCAGCCTTTCTATTAGCTGCGACTTCAGTATTGGTAAATTATTATGCTGCTTTGCACGTTGACTTCTATGGTGCCTACAACACATCAGCTTTTGGAATTGAGCTGCTTCCTCGAAAAGGGCCCTCGCTGTGGATGGCACTCATTGTTCTACAGCTAACATTTGGAATTGGATACATCACACTACTCCAAATTCATTCCATCTATTCACAGTTAATTATTTTGGATCTCTTGGTTCCTGTAATAGGCTTAATCACAGAACTACCGTTACACATCCGAGAGACTTTAGTTTTTACTTCTTCCTTGATTCTCACGTTAAATACAGTGCTTGTCTTGGCAGTGAAACTTAAGTGGTTTTATTATTCCACAAGATACGTTTATCTTTTAGTGAGGCACATGTATCGAATTTATGGATTACAGTTATTAATGGAGGACACTTGGAAGAGGATTCGTTTTCCAGATGTCCTGCGAGTCTTCTGGCTAACAAGAATTACAGCTCAGGCTACAGTATTAATATACATTTTAAGAATGGCCAATGAAACAGATTCCTTCTTTCTCTCTTGGGATGATTTCTGGGACCTCATTTGCAACCTTATCATTAGTGGATGTGACTCCACACTCACTGTCCTGGGCATGAGTGCTGTCATCTCCTCAGTAGCCCACTACTTGGGTCTTGGAATATTGGCCTTCATTGGATCGACTGAAGAAGACGACAGGCGACTTGGCTTTGTAGCACCTGTTTTATTTTTCATTTTAGCTCTTCAGACTGGTTTAAGTGGGCTAAGACCAGAAGAGAGACTTATTCGCTTAAGCAGAAACATGTGCCTTTTATTAACAGCAGTCCTGCATTTCATCCATGGAATGACAGACCCCGTATTAATGTCGCTCAGTGCCTCTCATGTGTCATCTTTTCGTAGACATTTTCCTGTGCTCTTTGTTTCTGCTTGCCTGTTTATTCTTCCTGTTATACTCAGTTATGTTCTTTGGCATCACTATGCACTAAATACATGGTTATTTGCAGTTACAGCCTTTTGTGTGGAGCTCTGCTTAAAAGTAATAGTTTCTCTCACTGTTTATACGTTATTCATGATTGATGGCTACTATAATGTCCTCTGGGAAAAGCTTGATGATTATGTCTACTATGTTCGTTCAACAGGCAATATTATTGAATTTATATTTGGAGTAGTAATGTTTGGAAATGGGGCTTATACTATGATGTTTGAGTCAGGAAGTAAAATCCGGGCTTGTATGATGTGCTTACATGCCTATTTTAACATCTACTTACAAGCGAAAAATGGCTGGAAGACATTCATGAATCGTAGAACTGCTGTAAAAAAAATTAATTCACTTCCTGAAATAAAGGGGAGCCGCCTACAAGAAATAGATGACGTATGTGCAATCTGCTATCATGAGTTTACAACATCTGCTCGTATCACACCGTGTAATCATTATTTCCACGCACTTTGCCTTCGCAAATGGCTGTACATTCAAGATACTTGTCCAATGTGCCATCAAAAAGTGTACATTGAAGATGATATCAAGGATAACACAAATACATCTAACAACAATGGATTTATTGCACCCAATGAAAATCCAGAGGAAGCTATACAAGAAGCTGCTGCCGAATCTGACAGGGAATTGAATGAAGATGACAGTACAGATTGTGATGATGATGCTCAGAGAGAAAGAAACGGAGTGATTCAGCACACAGGCACAGCAGCTGAAGAACTGATTGATGATGATACTGATTAAAATAGCATTTACTGATCATTGAGGTATTTGTTTAAAATTCAGTTCATCCAGAATGGAGTAATCTGCTTCACTTCAGTGTAACCAAGCACAAAAACAGTATCAATGTTGAATCTGTGAATGGTTTTCCGTTTACTGTGATGTGCTACTGTAAATATACCTCTTTAATTACTTCTGGTCTCTTTGGTGACCTATTTAAATTTGTGTACATTATTGTACATAGAATAAAATGTTTTCACATTTTTATGACAAATTTGAACAAATAACTTTTTAATAGATGTAATAATATGGTGCGTCAACTGTGCCAAAGATTCCTCAATGAAAGTCTGTGATGTATCCAACTCGGGACCCTAGTTTTTCTTTAAAATGGGTGCGAGAGAATAAAAATGCAAATCAGGGGAAACTATGTTAAATCAAGGAAATAAAACAACTTGGACCAGAGGATAAATTCTGTATGTATGTAGAGTATTTTGCAATTAAGGGGAAAATAGGCTGTCAGAAGTGACTGAGACTTTTTTGACACGAGATTAGCATTGTAGTTGAGCTGGGTTTCAGAGTAATGATTCAGATCAGAGACTGTGAGAGTTGAGAAGTAAGCTTATTTATAGCAACTAAACTTTGGTATAAACCAGGATGTGCTAATGGTTTTAATTTTGATGTAAAAATCAGTATATTTATTAGCCATTCTGTGTTTGCAGCATTGTCATAATACTGTCCTTTTAAACTTTTAAAGAGATTACAAAATGAAATACTTTGGGGGGTTTTCACTATTTTAAACCAAAATTAAGTGATTTTAGAAAATTCTGATCTGACTTCATGGGTGGTATGCAGTGATATGATACCTCTTTAGACAACTTCCAGAGAATTCCTTTATTGAAACTTAAGTTTTATCATGAAATTTTATATACATGGTGGGAAAATGGGGGACACATCAATTACATATCAGGAAAAAATGTTTTAATAGTGTTGTTATATAGTGTATTGGCTAGTTCCAGTGGATCTTCATCTCTTACTGCTGACATTATCTCCAATATTTGACTAAAACAAAACAAAAATAGATGGTTAAATTTCTAAGTAAATATTCTGTTTTAAAGATATTTATCTTTTTTCACATAAATGAAAAGATATTGTTTCAGCATCTTTAGCATAAAAAGCCTAACAGTATGTATTAAAGTTTTCAGCAGTGTTAACAGAAAAGTTTAACTGCTAGGATATTTAAAACAAAGCAATTAGAAATAAATTTCTGGGACAATCTTGCATGTAACTAGAGCCAGGAACCAGGTTCAAGTAAATTATAAAGCCAGCCCATATTATGTGTCCCACAGTTGTGGAACTAACCAGTGAAAATGATGAGCCCTTTTAAATTGGGGGTCATGACACAGTGGGTCATGATGAACTTTTAAAAAATTAAAAGTACATTTGCATTTAGTAAGGGAAATAGTGTTCCATTTTTGTTTGGGTTATATTTACATATGCAAATGTGTACCAAGTCACACAGTGTGGTATTGTCGGGATAGCAGTCAAGAGTTTGAAAGCCATTGCTTAGAGAACTAGTTGTAAAGGGCAGCAAGAAACTGCCGCATCATCAGCAGGAAGTTAGAACATGGTACTTGGAAGTGCACTGGGGGTCGGGGGGAGAGAGGCACTTTCTCTTCCTGTAGGTTTTGCCCTGCAACAGAAAGGTGCCCGTCTTTCACTTTCTTTGCCTAGAATGATGGTAATTATCAGCAGTGTTTTCTAGCAATATTGCATGTAGACAGAATATTTCTTATGCATGAATTAGAAAATTCAGTCAAATTAAACATTTAAATATTCTTTGTCTTAAGCTTTTTGTTTCCCTTTATGGGTTTTTAAAATATGAACACCTAGAGGAATCAGAGACAGAGATTAGCAATTAACTGGAACTTTTAAGTTCTGTAATAGTGACAGATGCTTTGTTTAACATGTATTGAATGAAGTGACTCTGAAATTTTTATCTGACAAAATATGCTAAAAGAAAATCTATTAACATTTAAAATGACACTAAAGACCCGGTTTTCTTAGCAAATTACAGTTTTCTTCTATAGACTGCTTGGAACTGGAAATTAATACATAATACTGAGAAATCAGTATGATTCCTGCCACCAGTCTCCCTTCCAGTCTTTTCTCCACATGGATTGATTGATACTAGTTCAGTAGCTTCCCTACTTAAAATCCTTTGGGTCCTGATAAAATCTAAACCACAGATGGTGGCACATGGGCTGCACTCTCTGGCCTGTCCTCCCTATCACTGAGCATCCTACTTTCTGCCACACTGCGGTCACTGTTCCCAGCTCTTCCCCAGCCTGCCTTCATTCAAGCTGTGTGTTTATCTCCGTCTGGCCTAACTCCCAGTTCAGCTCAGTAAACAGTTGAAATGTCACTTGAGTTACTTGAGTGCTCTATTTCCCCTCAGGGCAGGCAGCTGCTCTGTCCTGTGTGTTCCTACCCCGTAACAGCACTGCTGTCTTGGATTATACTTACTATCTGCTTGTTTGCTCCAGGAGGATCTTTGTCAGGCTTGTTTAATGCCTTACCCAAAGTGCCTGGCACAGTGCACCTACTTATCTGATGGGGTGAGGGTGGGAACGGTCTTGATTCTTTCCTGTGGCCTCAGTAACCTGTATCTCCCATGATACTTGACAAGAGCTCCAGAATGTATTTCATGGAATTTACAGTCTAAAGTGGGGGGGAGGGGGAATCTCTATTCAAAAAATTAAAACTGTTAATAGATGCTAATGAGTATTCAGCATTAGACTAGAGGCATGTTTATTTCTGAAATGTAGTTTAAAATTTTTCAGTTTGCAAATGTTGATTTTCCCAAGGAAGTAAAATTCTGTAAAGTTCTGCACTTTTTTCCAGTTGGAAAAAGGAAATCCTTTCTAATATTTGTCCTTTTGTTCAGAGGCTTAAAGAACACTGTTATTTCTTAGGTTTATTCAAGCTGTGAAATCATTTGTGTCTCCTGCTAAGATTGCTTTTATAATCATCAGCAGGAAACCTGCAAGATAACAGAACTTAAGCCAGGTAAGGTAATTCTATCTATGGAGAGCTTTAAGAGCTTTCCCCCTCCCTAGAAAAGGACAAATGACCAGAATCACTTAAAGTTCTTACTGCTATAGTAAAACCACTTTGGGTTGAGGGTATGGAAAAAAAAAAAAAAACAAGCTGATACAAATTCCTCCAAATCACGGCATTAAAATGGTCTTTGATAACATCATTTGGATTTCATCTAACTTTAATTTTGTCCCTTGAATTCATTTTGTAAACAGTGTTGGTGATTGACTTTAATATTCTGAAGGCCCTGAAAACAAGATACTTACATTATATGACAGGGTTCATTTCTGTCTTTCAAACAGTGCCCGTTTTCCCACTTCTTTTTGGTAGGAAATGAAGTTTTTATATATTTTGATCCAGCATGTGTACTTTTGACTCCACACCAAGGTGCATCTAAAGGTAAGCAAAGAAAGATTCTCAAAGAGATTTACCTTTTAAAATTATTTTTGTTTTAGTGAATATTATCAAACTATTATATAACCTCTAAAAAATATAAGCCATGATTCAGCTTAAATGGTAAAAGAAAACAGAAAACAGCTTTAAGAAAGTACAAGATGAAATCTTGAACTGTACAAATTCTTTTAAAACTTCTATTCACTCTTTTCCCCCACTAACAATATGCTTTTAAAAAATGATCTAAAGCTAAAATAAAATACAGTAGTAACATGGAAACATTTAACACTTTTTTTGCCTCTACTGAATGTAAAACAGTGGCTTTTTTTTTTTTGGGCTGCACAGTGTGGCATGCAGGATCTTAGTTCCCTGACCAGGGATCAAACCCATGCCCCCTGCATTGGAAGCATGAAGTCTTAACCACTGGACTGCCAGGGAAGTCCCCAACTGTGCTTTGAATACTGGGATTATTTACTTACCTAACTCTCTAATAAAGAATTAAAATAGTTTACACATTTTACAACCATTAATAATTTTCATGACTTCCCTAAGGAAATATACCTGATTTCTTCAGAATGACTCAGTCTTGACTTTATTTAAAAACTCCATGTGTATGAGAGCCTCGAGTTCAGACTATAGACAGAATTCTTAGCTCTGAACTTTGTATTCTGAGAGGCAACAGGTTAATTTCTAAAATTCTTAAACCCAATTTGATTTAAATGTTTGCATTACTTTAAAAGTATTGTACAGTTAAGCCATTGTACAAAAAAATTCTTGTTTTTGAATCCATTCTTGTTTAATAAAATAATCTCCTTAGTTACCACATAGTCTCACACTGCATTTTTAAATGCTTAGGCTTTTAGTCAAGCTTCTAGATTGAAAAAATCGCTTGCATGAATATTTTTCTATTACAACTCCCCAAAGACTTTCTGACAAGTATAATTGTTGAGGTTTAAGCATGCTTTTCAAAATAAAATATTTGTTATTACTTTTCTCTAACTCTTGGGGGTATGGTTTAATATGAAAATTAAGTTCTAAAAGCAAACTTACCAGTCTCAATCATTAATTTTTCACTAGGTATTGACTTTAGAACTTCCAAATTAGCCTCAGTTTTCAGTGAGCTTTAAAAAGAAAAGTTACTTATATATAAAAGTGTATTTAATGAATAACTTTTTCATACTATAAACTTGTCTAAAACAGATTGCAAAACTAACCCAAAATCCTGAAGGAAAACTTTGGTTGGCTACAATGGAAGTGTACTTTAGAAAAGTGTTTGCACATCCTGTCCTTATAGAATCCAGATTAAGATCTGTTCCAAGCAGATCTCACTTCAGGGGATGAAATTTTTTATGTTTATCAGTTGATCATCCAATAACTTTCTGTAAGTCTATGTTAAACAGTCTTTTGAAGATCTTGCATTGCACCTCCCATTCCTCACCCTCCCAAATCTGGAAGCTTGTAGGATCTTCCACTACTCTATAGACATTCTGAACCTTGGTAACGTGTCCAAGCATGAAACATTTTCATCCATTTAG